ATCTCACACAAACGCACGCACGCACACACACACACACACTATCTCACACAAACGTGCACACACACGCGCGCACGCGTGCGCGCACACACACACACGCACACACACCTGTGTCATCTTGAGCAGGTCCAGTGAAGGCCTGTGTTTGTGAGAGTCTGCCGGTCTCCTGCGCTTCACGCCGGTCTTCTTGTGGTTGTGGACGCAGGGCTGTGACCGGCTGCGGGCGAGTCCCTGTCTGCGGCGCTGCAGCTCGGGCGTGGAGTCGGGCGAAGACTCGGCAGGGTAGATCCGCTCCTGCGAGAGGTAGAGCGTCTGCGGGGACGCGGAGAAAGAGAAGCCGAAGGGCTCCGGCGGATCGCTGCGTGCCGGAAGGCTGAAGCTGGAGCTGCGCTGCATGGAGGGAAACCCAGCCGGAGCGAAGGCGCCGGGCTGAACACTCCCCCCGCTGAGGCAGCGCCGCTTCTCCACCGCCGTCCAGACGCGCGACCCCTGCGGACGCCACGAGGAGCGGCAGCCCACCTCCTCCGAGCAGGACAGCGAGCGGCACTGGCGTTTACTGGGCGGCGCGGCGCTGCCAGCAGAGGGCGCTTCACTCAGACTCAGATCGTGCAGCAGACCGCTGATCCCGCCGCTGGCGCCCGTCTCTCGCACACTGTCCCACAGACTCTCCAGACTGGAGCCCACGGGCCGCGACACCTCCGGCCAGCGTCCAGACTCTACAACACAACACCTGCCCTCAGAATCACAGACACTTAAGACTAGGGCTGGGAAAATAAATCGATGCATCGCGAATCGAGAAATGATTCAACATCGACTCTGAGATTTTCTGAATGCATGGCGATTCTTTCTCGAGTGGATTCTAAGCGTAGTTTTCAAGTAATGGTTCAGCTCTTATTCCTGGAATCAGTGTGCTGACCAGATGACCTCTGACCTCAACAAGGTGATCAGTGACTACAGACCTCACATCCTCATCTAGTGAACATGTTTGGAGAGAAACGGTTACAGAACCCAGTGACTGAAGTATTCATTCAGGAACACTCACTCACTCTCACTCTCACACACACTCACGCGCACGCGCACGCACACGCACGCTCACGCACGCGCACGCACACTCACGCACACGCACGCTCACGCACACGCACGCGCACGCACACTCACACGCACACTCACACATCGACTCTGAGATTTTCTGAATGCATGGCGATTCTTTCTCGAGTGGATTCTAAGCGTAGTTTTGAACAGCAGATGGCGCTGCATGCTTCAGAAACAGCCAAATCCTTACACACACTTGAACCTAAAATAATCATTAATTAACATTCGAAAAGGTTGAAGTGAATCACAAGGGTGTTCACAGTGGGCTGTGTTTACATTAATCTGGCGTCATAAAAGCATTCTGAGCCGAGATGAAATTACAGACCCAGCCGAACGCACAAGCGCTCTTCAGCTCTTCTTCATGAGTGTTTGAGTGTGCGGATAAAAACTAGAGTAGAGCGCCATCTGCTGTTAAAATATAAGCTCAGAATCGAATCCAGAGAGAATCGCCATGCATTCGGAAGATCTCAGAAACGATCCACGAATAGATTCTGCATCGATTTATCGTCGCAACCCTACATAGGACTGCACAACCAATCACAATAAAACCGAAATCATGTACGGCTTATGTGCAATTATCAAGTAGCAAATGCTGTGATTGCATTAAATGAATATAAGCATTGAGTGTCTCAGAGTGGAGCGTGGCACTGTGTACGTTTACCTGCAAGCAGCTCACAATTTGGTGCTTTCAGCATCTCGGTTCACAGGAAGTGCTGCTTCACATGAACTCTACCTTTCTTTCATTCCAATTTAAGTTGCTTTAACATTAATTTGGGAACGCATCATGCACCAACCATCTTCCCAAATTTGTAATGAGAAGCGCTTGTCAGCAAAACAGAAACCCTGTGGTTTTCCATTCAAATAAATGTTTGATGGTTTAAAGACACAGAAGCTGGAAAAATTAATTTTGGGAAAAAAATAAACAGATTTCAGAGGGTCTTATTAGTGTTAAATTAGCGTATGCATGTGTAAAAATAATGAACTTAATTAAATTAGTTACCTATTAAGATGGAACCGTTTAACATTAGAAAATGAGAACACGCAGCCATAAATAGTATTACAGTTGTACTATAAAATTATTACTATTATTATTATAAAATGTTATTACATTTTAAACACTTCATTTTATATTTTACAATAAAATAAATATTTTTCGTATTTTTATTTATTATTTTGTAATTTATTATCATAAATAGTCATAATAATAATGATAACAATAATAGCAATCATTATTATTGTTGTCATATTGATATATAATAACTACATTTTGGCCAAATTGCACAGCCCTACAAACAAACACACCAAACCTGGATACTTCAGTTCATTTTAAATCGCAATGTTATCAGAAAATGTTTATTTTTTTATTGGTAAATGACAATTAGACTTTTCCTCATATTGTGCAGCTCTACTGTAGTACTATACACATTAAATTAACAAGTAGACAAATCACAAAAACACAATTCAGAGCATTTTTGAAGCTGCAATGCATTTGGAGGAGGTTCAAGTGTTTGGATGATACTTGGAGCGATCACACATCACATGATTTATTACTTCCTATGAACGAGGGTCAAAACCACAGCAGAAAACTCAGATCAATGTATCGACCTCTAGTTTGAGATGCTTTTTTAACTCAACAGAGGCGAACAAAAGAGAAGCAGGCTGTGCCTGAGAAACAAAGAGCCAGAAATAGAGCCGTCTGATTGGTGGCAGGCTGCCAGACGGCTGAACATCTGTGTGTTCAGAGCGTGTTTTGGTTACTCGCTCTTAATGTGAATCACTCGCACCCCATGGGGACCTCTGACCAACTACTGTCGAAACACACATCGCCAGCGGTGCGATAAATCATGGAGTTACTCAGAATGATGTGAAACGAGATTGGGGACAACAGAGACATGAGAAACATGACATACTACACACTCATACTAGTCTATACTATATATTCACACTCTATACTACTTAATACACCCTCTATACTAAATACACTCCATCTTATTCACACTCTTTATTACTTAAACTCTATATTACATACTCTCTATACTAAATACTCACAACTCTATATTACTCACAATCTATACTACATGCACTTTATACTATGTACTCAAACTCTATATTACTTACAATCTATGCTACATACTCACACTATATACTACATACACTATATTACTTACACTCTATACTAAATACTCACACTCTATACTACATGCACTCTATACTACATACACACTCTATACTATGTACTCACACTTACCGAATACTGAAATTTTGGTACCGTGACAACACTACTACATACTCACACTATAATACTACATACACTCTATATTACTTACACTCTATACTACATGCAAGCTATACTACATGCACTCTATACTACATACTCACTCTCTATACTAAATACTCACACTCTATATTACTCACAATCTATACTACATGCACTTTATACTATGTACTCAAACTCTATATTACTTACAATCTATGCTACATACTCACACTATATACTACATACACTATATTACTTACACTCTATACTAAATACTCACACTCTATACTACATGCACTCTATACTACATACACACTCTATACTATGTACTCACACTCTATATTACTTACAATCTATACTACATGCACTCTATACTATGTACTCAAACTATATTACTTACACTCTATACTACATACTCACACTCTAACTAAATACTCACACTCTATACATGCACTCTATACTACATACACACTCTATACTATGTACTCACACTCTATATTACTTACAATCTATACTACATGCACACACTCTATACTATGTACTCACACTCTATATTACTTACAATCTATACTACATGCACTCTATACTATGTACTCAAACTATATTACTTACACTCTATACTACATACTCACACTCTATACTACATACACTCTATACTACATACTCACACTCTATATTACTCACAATCTATACTACATGCTTTCTATACTACATACTCACATTCTATACTATGTACTCACACTCTATATTACTTACACTCTATACTACATTCAACACTCTACACTATATATTTATACTCTACGGCAGGGTTCCTCAAATCTTGCCCTGGAGGGCCAATGCACTGTAGAGTTTAGCTCCAACCCTGATCAGACTCACCTACCTGTGATTTTCTAATGATCCTGAAGACAAAGATTAGCATGCTCAGGTGTGTTTGATTAGGGTTAGAGCTGAAGTCTGCAGGAAAGTGGATCTCGTGGGCCAGATTTGAGGATCCCTGCTCTACGGTGTCTCAGTTTGCTCTACATATACTGAAGCACATGTGGCGCTTGTCTGCGTCTCACTATATGAACACACAAATTTCATCTTCAGAGCTACTAGAGTCAGACCATAATCATAATAATAATACATTTAGAAATGAAAGAAATTGTTGAATTTATTTGATTACATTTTAAAAGATTCAATTGTTAATGTTTTGATCATTAAAGTTTTTAATAATAAATTTGTATTAATGCATAAATCCAGAAAATTTAAAGCAGACAACACAGAATTTCTGAAAAAAATAAATATTTCATACGGCCATATTATTGTAAAAACGTAATAAAATATTAAGTTATTACAGTTTTATAAATGCAATTGATTAGACATGCTTTTAGATTATTTAAATTAAAATTAACCATTAAAATTGAGTCCAGAAAAACATAATCCAGAAAAATCAAATGCAATCCAGAAAAAGGAAAAATTCCACAAACATTTAAGTTCTAACGCCATCTAAGAGTATACAGTAAATTATAGTAAGCATGTGCTTACTATATAATTATAATTATCAGGGGGCCCTTGGAAAATGTCCCTCAGGTGGCTCAGGTTCACACCCAGCGCATCAGAACAGCAGCGCTTCTCGTTGCAGAGGGGCATTTTTCTCAAGTCAAAAGCAGAAATGCTCTGGCTGTGGGCACGCAGCAAAACAAAGACAGCCTAACCAGCACACACCGCTGTGGGCATCGATCTGACGCAGCACAAAACCCTACTGATCACTCAACTCTGTTTATTCCACTCAAAGACTGGCTCCATTCTTTTACTACCTCTGTTTTCTGAGAGCAGTTGTTCTGGAGACAAACATCGAGCTGCTCACACGTGACACCGGCTCGGAGACGCTGGCACCTGTGGCGTCTGAAACTAGGCCTCATGGGTATCAGATGTGAGCGCGGCACACTTTCTATTCCGCTCTTTCATTGAGGTGAAGATACGCTGATCCAATCAGTGACGGAGCAAATGCAGAACAGAAAGACGTTTGATCGCTATAAAGACAGCAGTGTATTTGCATTTACCCATAATCCCGCAGGAGAAGAGGGCCGTCCCCTGGCTCATGGTCGGCGGCTCACGCTGTAGAAACACACAGACGGATCAGATGAGCATCCAGGTCAAAAAATGAAATGATAATCTAAATATGAAACTAAAAGCGCCAGTAGGTGGCAGCGAGTCTTAATGAGTGAGTCATTGAATCATTCATTCAACAGATTCATTCCAACAGTTGATTTATTCAGAAATTAAGCTGACTGCCCTTATGAATGAGTCACTGAATCAACTCACTCGATTCATTCAAAAACATGGACTTATTCACAACAGCCCTGCTGTGGCTTTGATTGGAACTATTTTTTGTTTTCAAAATTGACAATATTGTGTCTAAAATGTACGGCAATATGAACTTCTTGTATATTGAACTGCTGTATAAATCACGTTTTGTAATGATACTAGGGGAAAACAGCACTCCTGCTGGTGTGATACTGCTCAACTATATCATATGATATAAATATAAAAGGGGTGATTTTTTGCGCTCATATGTTGAATTTTAGGCTCATATCACTGCATTCTAACAGCCTCAGTTGTCCTGCATCATGTTCATCAGACACTGTATCAATGTAAGATAATGGACAGGTGTTATTTCTTCCAAAATTAACCGCGCCAAATTAACGTGTTAAATCTACAGCCCTAAAAATTACTGCAGATGAGCTAATGAGAATTATTACAAACTAGACTGTCATGGATCTGATTAAACTGAATCTACTTGGAACTGGAGCAGCGTGTGTGAAATCATCCTATTATTAGGGAGTAAATTATGCATGACGCCTGACGTCTCTAATGTGAAGCGCCGTGGTCTTACCAGCTGCAGAGACTCTGTGGATGCTACATCATCGACGGCCTTCTTTTCCAGTGTTTTAGTGTGAATAATCACCATGGCAACACACATGTTTGCCACAGTCCATTCCAGTGCAGGACAGTTCTAGTGAAGCTCATCATTGGAGTGCCGCGCTGATCCGATCCGATCACTCCCACATCAGTACCAAACGCTCTTCAGCCTGGACACAGAACAGGACAGGATCCCGTCAGCCGATAGAGATTTACACACAGTATTCTGTCTGCTTATAAGATGCACATCAATCACATTATTCAACCGTCACACGTGCCACGTTCACTTAGGGGTGTGTGATATATATCTTCTGCGATAATATCGTAATTGTTGTTTTAACGATGTGTGATTTGACATTATCGAGTATTTTGCAAAAACCATTCAAAACACCCCTACAGAGCGCACGCACACATCACGTGAAGTCTAGACTACTGCTCTTATATTAGAGTGCGTTCTTTAACTGCATGATTCAGTCTACATTTAGCATGATCACAAATTCAAGACATGGAGGCAGAAAATGTATATATTTATACCACTTCATATAGTAGTCATTTTCACACGAAGAGTGCCGTTTTTCTCCAAATATTACCATGATTACAAATGTGATATTGATTTTTACAACAGTTCAATAAACAAGAAGTTAATATTAAGAGACTTGCGTTTTAGACACCATATTTCATGTTTTTGCGCTATTTTGACAACAAAAATAATTCCAATCAAAGCCACAGCGCTGTTTTGCGTCTCTGAGCAACATGACGGTGTTTCGTTCCTGAATGAATCACTCGTTTAAATGATTCGGTTCAGTCGCAATGACTCACTTATTAACAGTGACTTGCTGCCACCTGCTGGTGGTTTTAATTTCACACTTAAAGTGTATTTTATTATTTAAATAATTTCAAATATCAGTATTCAACGTTTTATGTTTAATATATCAAAACATTATTTATGCATTTGTAATTGCAGGTTAAATGCATTCATGTCTTGCATTAAACAAAATACATGTGTGTAAATACATCTAAATGCCACTTCAGATGCAGCTTCTGTGTTGATTTCATTTGCTTGGCAACAGCCCAAATGTCTTATTATTCTAATTCCCTGATTAAATGTAAGAATTTGACTCAAAAGATAATGGACACTTTTAGAAAAATGGCTTTATAA